ATGTTCGAATATATGCACGACCATTCATGCTCTTCTGAAATGAAAGCTATTTTCATTTTCTGTTTTCCATCAATTTTTGGTTTCCTTTGTTTGGTAATAACTTGCCATGGGCACAGTTATCAGCAAGTTGACTGCATTTGTTGAAAACGTAGCATTTTATAAAATAAGACCTGTATTTCAAGGTCAGTGTCTGTCCAATTGAAGAGTAATTGGATTATAGCTAAAGTCCCTCAAAGCAGAGGCAGCAGGTTTAACATGAATGTCTTCTACTGTCTTGGATTCCAGCAACAAATCAGATTTACCGAATGTATCCTTGTTGCTTTGCTTTGTGTGTACCAAAAGAGTTAAAGTTAAAAAGAAGAGTGTTCACCTTTTACCCAGAAACACTCATCATTTCAGTGATTCTACTGGAAAATAAGCAGTATTGATTTTTTTTTTTAACGAGGACTTTTTCAGTTTAGTGGAAAAGCAGCGCTGCTCTTTTCCTGCCTCTGTTAGACATCATTTCCACCGTGCATTTTTAATAATTGTGCTTCCAGACAGAAATTCCATTCTGTGGATGTTAACAGTGGTATATCCTGTTGAAGGCTGTCTGCACAGGCCTGTGAACACAAAGAGATTCAAGCCTGTTTAAAAAAATAAATAAATAAATAAAAAAGTTGCTGGTGGTATACAATTGCACATGGCACATTCAAACTAAATATTATTGTAGGCTAGCTAGTCGGCCACAAAGTTAGCTAGTGAATTCACGTTGTCCACTAAATATCAGTTAATGCCCAAATAGGTAATATGATGCTCATATGTCTTTTTTTTTTAGCAACATTTAAATAAAGAGTATGAGTGGTGCATGCACACTGTGAATGATTCATCTGGCAGAAGTCCCCCAAAGGCCACTATTGCACCAGATGGACTGAAATAGCTAAGTTGTTCCTATTTGCGTCTTTTAGAGTCTTCAAAGCACAAAAGCTTTGCAAAGAAAAGACTAAGCACACTTACTGGCTAATATTTACAGTGAGTCTAATGATACTGAAATGTTTGTGTCTTACAGGAAGCACACAAAAAAGAATTAAAACATTCAAGATTTTCAGCTGACATCTTTTAGTTTTTGCTTTAATTTAGTGTTTTGTTGAATTGTCTAGTGGGGATGTTTGAAAAGGGCTTCAGTTAAGAGGAAGTTACTGCTGGGTTGCCTTGCAATCCTCAGAACCACCTGCTGTGCTTTTACTAGACTCAATATGTTCTGTCAGTGAGCCAGAAGGCTGTCTGAGCCTTTATTTTTTTTTACTACTGTTACACCTACTATAGCATGCTCTGTAAAATAGTACAGTCCACAGTTGACCATCGTGAATAAACGAATACACACCCTGTGTTATACAAAGACAGTTTTGGCAGCACAAATCCTGCACACAATTGGTCGTACCGTGTTTTTTGCAATTAATAAATAATTTTTTTATAATTTATTTATTTTAACATTGAAAAAGTGCAGGTAAAGTGGTCACATCAACAAGCTCAAGAAACCTGTTCGAGAAGATTTGAGGTTTGTGACACGCTGTGTAATTCTGCTGGAAGCAGCCGTCAGAAGATGGGTCCACTGAGGTCATGAACGGCGATGCACGATGTGGCTTTTAAATAGTGCTGTCATCATTAATCCCGTTAAAAGGATGTTTACGCCATAACCGTATTAACGTGGCAAATCTCCGAGTTACCGCAGATCACCCCGTGCGTGCGGCTGCACGGCGTCAACATGTTAGTGTGGTGATCTGCGGTAACTCGGAGATTTGCCACGTTAATACGGTTATGGCGTTAACATCATTTTAACGATGACAGCACTACTTTTAAATGTTGTTTCAAAGTGGCCCAAAATATGCCACACACTATTATACACCACTGTGCCTACCACCTGAATGTTGAAGTAGCATGTGTAGCCTCGTCAGACCATTTTTGGTGAGCTTGTGTGATCTGTAGCTTCAGTTTCTTGTTCTTTGCTGATAGAAATGGCACCCGGCGTGGTCTTCTGTTACTGTGTTCAGAGATGCTCTTCCGCATACTTTGTTGAAACAAATAGTTATTTGAGTTACTGTTGCATTCCTATCTGCCAGGCTATTCCCCTCTGACCTCTGGCATTAATAAGGTATTCTTCAACCAGAGAACTGCTGCACACTGGATATTTTCTCTTTTTTCAAATCATTCTCTGTAAACCAGAGACATGGTTGTGTGGGAAAATTGTCCAGTTTCTGAAATACTCAGACCACATTTAAAGCCACTATTCTTACATTTGGTTTGAGCTTAAGCAGGCCATCCCGAACCTTGTCTACATGTCTAAATGCATTTAATTACACCCAATGTTCAGTGTATTCTTCAGTGTTGTTTAAGGTAATAAAACAGACTATTTGACTTGCATTAACTTGCCTAAAATGTTTGAAATTCTAATAACCTGACACTTTTCCATTTTTTGAGTCAAATAAGACTGAAAATATCACTTGAGTCTACTAAGATTTTCTTTTCTGGAAACTAAATAATAAAATGACAGTCTGTTGGTGATTTAGTGGCTTCATTCAAAGAAAACCAGTGAACAAACATGTCCTCTGAGCGCTCTGCCCATGGAAATCTAAGCTGTGTTTTGAAAAAGTAAAGCCAGCACAGCTGTGCCTTAAACCTGCTTTTCTTTTTTCTACTGGCCTCTGGTTGCATAAAGAGGTTTCACTATAAATACATCTACAGCAAAACAGCACTTTTTACTTTTTCCCCCCATTTTTAACTCCTTTTTACTTAAATTGTGCAGAATCACAACTGCAGTCACCTCAAGGTGCTTTATATCAGCGGCCCCCAACCGCCAAGCAACGGCCCGGTACCAATCCATCGTTTGGTACCGGACCACGAGAGTTGAGGCTCGGGTGTAAAATTTATGGTTTTCAGGGTTTCTTTTTTCTTTTATCGTTAACTCTGTTTCCCTGTGTCTTTTCCCGTGTTGTAGTTGTGTGTTATTTTAAAAGAAATATTTATGCATTACTATAGCGACCAGAGAGCATTAAGGGGCAGAGAGGAGGATGTTACTCTCAGTGTTGTTGGCGCATTTCAGGAGGGCGCTGCTAATAAAGTTACACAATTTCACAGAGAATTCACGTTGATCATTATATTTACCAAATGCCACAGTTTTTGTCTTGGTCGTATCATTTTATTTTGTTGTATTTATCCGCGACATCTTAAAGACCGGTCCATAGGTGAAGACCCTACGGTGGGGGGGCTTCTGTGCCAATTCTAAGTCTTTTTACAGCAATAAATGTTCATTTTATAAAGTGAACATTATATTGTTCAATTGTACAATTGAGGATGGGTGTACCTCCCAGCTGACAGGGCTCCGTGGTGTAGTGGTTAACATTTGTTCCTTGGTTTGAGACCATTAGGAGACACAAACTGAGGGAGTCACGAGTTGGTGTATTCCTAGTGCTGGTCCCAAGCCCAGATAAATGGGAAGATTGTGTCAGGAAGGGCATCTGGTGCAAAATCTGTGCCAAGTCAAACATGCTATCTATCCGCTGTGGCGACCCCCAGGGAAATGGAGTAGGAGCAGCCCAAAGTACCACACGCTATTATATAAACTTGCAGCATTCCTAATTTTAACAGTCACGTGTACCCCTCGATTGTCATATCCAGTTTCAAAACACCAACATGCATGACATCGCGGTGACTACAGCCATGTTCGTATGCAGTCTGTGTCTGACTTCTCTCTGGTTTTCAGAGTCGAGTTTTTCACCCACTCTGTACAGGGGTTCAACTAAACAGACTGAAATGATCTTTCTAGCCAAAAGACTAGTTAGGAAACAGAACCGAACATCTGTCCAGAGCAGCCCTGAATAACCTCAGCAGAACAGCACTCCACCCAGTTATACTGTTGACTTGTTGTGACCATCTCACATGCACTTTGTTTTTCATTTTCAGCATTTGAAAAGCAGGATACAGTAATCGCTTTCCACACCATTTCTTTTCCTTGTTGCTTTTAGTTAATAGCACAACTATTTTTCCCAAGATCTGGATCAAAAACAGTTGCAAATAAGATATGACTTTATATTTTAATCTTTCTTAAACTGATTGCTTCATTTTGTGAGAGCATTTCAGTCAAAAAGTTGTGTAAGAGGTACATTTCAAATGGTATCCTTCTTGTACGACTCATTCTGTCCTCCTTTGTGGCTAAACCTCAGCTCTCCTCTGCACACAAAAACAAGCCCAAAAAATAATACTGAAATACAGTTCAACCTAGGTCTTCTTCCATAAAAGCCCCCACAACACCACCAGCTCATTCATTCCTGGCTCTCTCTCTCGTTCTCCACTTTTTTCCACACACTCTGTTCTCCCCTCCTCAGCCTTTTTTTTAACTTATTGCTTTCTGTCTATTGCTTTGGTTTTTGCAGATATTCAACACGCTATGCAGGCTGTTGCAGAGAATCTCAATGTAATTGTTGTCAGATGACATTCAGAGAATCGGCGGGAGGTGAAAGAAAGAAAGTTGGGTTAAAAAAATAGAGATGATGTAAAAAATTTAATAAAATAGAAAGAGAAGCTGCTGGAGGATCAGTGAGGAAATGTTAAAGTAGAGAGCGAAAAAGAGAAGTTGGAGAGGGGGGCGGTTTACAGGTTACCATGCCAACAAAAATAAACACCAAGTGTGTTATGTGCTCCATGCTCCAACTCACTGACCTGCCCGGTGCTATGATGTGTGTGTGTGTGTGCAGCTAAGTATTAGGGAGTTAACACACTGAAGTGAAGTCACCTTTGTTTTGGGGGGTTTCTACATTTACTGGGCCTCGGAGGAAATGCTTGACACTCTGGAGGCCGTACAGCAGGAAGCTCAGAGCCGACCATGTGTGTATATTTATGTGTACGTGTGGGCGTCAGCAAAAACAGACACGAGCCGGCTGTTCAACACAAACGGATATTACAGTTGATTCAGTGTCCGGTGATGAATTAAACCCCTTTTTTAACCCTTTCTTTATCTCTCGCAGGGTTCAGAGGCAATGGAGGACTGCGTGCAGGGGGCGCTCTCATCGCTTTATCCTCCTTTTGAGAGCACAGCCCCACCCCTCCTCTCCCAGGTAGATTTCACTAGTGCGCACAACTTCATCCCAGTGCACGTCTTCAGGGAAATATACAAGGGTTGTGTAGACAAAGACAGTGTGATGTACAAACCCAATTCTGAAAATGTTGGCTGTGTAAAACGTAAATAAAAACAGAATGCTATGACCTCCTAAAGCTTTATTTTATTCACAGTAGAACACAGAAATTTTACTATTTCATGAAAATATGACATCATTTTGAATTTGATTGCAGCAGCACCTCAAAAAGGGTCACAGAGACAGGGTCAACAAAAAGTAAAAGTAATTGGTTCTGAAAAGAAACAGCTGGCAGAACATTTACAACTAATTAGGTTGATTACCTACTGGTCAGTCACACGATTGGATATAAAAAGAGCCTTTTAGAGAATCAGAATATAAAAAATCCATATTGAATGGCTGTCATCTTCTGGCCTGTCATGGAAATCACCGTCTGCAAATGTACGTTAAAGCGCTTTTATCAAAAGAAGAAGCCATATGTGAACATGATCCAGAAAGGCTGCCATCTTCTATGGCAGGGATGTCAAACGCGTTCCCTTTTGCCAGCAAAAGAAGTTTAATCGGGTTTAACTACATATTCTTCTTCTTAATACAAGTAAAAGAAGTGCAGTTTCAACAGTTTATCTCTGTCCACATGCTGTTGTAGTAAATGAAAGACATCTGTTTCTTAAATTGTAGGAAATAACAGTGTAAAATGTGTAGGCCATTGCCTGTACTGTCATGTAATTACAAAACAGACAGCTTCTGTAAATGCACAGAAATGTCTATAGTCAGTATTAGCGGGGAAAAAAGCCTTTGTGTACAGGTTTCAGAACAACACATGCTCCTATCCGGACTACTTCTTTTTCAGGGATGGCCTTGCATAGCGCAGCAAACTGCATCTATAAAGATAGTGTGCCATTGTAGTACAAGGGTACTGAAGAGCCTTGCCTGCAGTCCAGACGTTTCACCAACTGAAAACATTTGGAGCATCATGAAATGAAAAACACAACAAAGGAACCCGAGGATTGTTGAGCAGCTAGAATCCTCCAGTAGACAAGTATAGGACAATGTTCCTCTCCCACGATTCCAGCAGCTCGGTTTACATTGTGGTACACATGGCGGTGTCCCAGCTTTTTTGAGACGTGTTGCTGTAATCGAATTCAAAATGAGCTAATATGTTTTGCTCATTTTAAACATTTAAAATGTTTTTATATATTCTAGGAATAAAATGAAATTTGCCAAATTTTGAGTTGTTTTTGCAGTTGGGTTTGTATGGATAGCACAGACTTTCCATCTAGTTTTCAAATTTTTAGTTTTTAGTATTTTTAGTAACCAGCTTAGATATTTCTTTTTTTCTTTTTTCAAATTGGACCAAGTAGTCTTTGTTACCTAAACTTCACAGAGAAGGTTTTAGTTCCTAAATCTATCCAAGAAGTCTAACCAAGAAGTATTTAGTACCTAAACCTAACCAAATAGTCTTTGGTGTTCAAGTCTTACAGAAGAGACTTTGATGCCTAAATCTAACAAAAAAATCTTAACTAACTATCCAACGAGGTTTGCAGTTTCCAAACCTAACCAAGTGCGAAGTTAAACCTTAAACCCGATCTTAACTGAAAACACAAGCTTGTGATTTATTCAATGCTGCTACTCCAGTATTGCCATTAAGCACATGTTATCCATATCTTTGCTCTACCAGAAACCCTATTTGAAACCCTACAACAAGAACACCTTGACTTTTCGATAACACAAGCAAATCTAGTCAGTTATAACCAAATATTCTTAGATTATAGCACCCCTAACTATATCTAGCATTAATTTAGCTTTCGGTGCTTTGTTTCCTTAAAATTCTGGATACAAACAGATTTTTTAGCAACGGCTTGAACCATTGAGAGTTACTCTACTTACTTTGTAATTGTTTTTTTTTTCAAGTTGTCACATAGCTTCCAATCAGTTTTCTTTCTTGCCATGGAAAAAGCTGTTTGATACAACAAGAGGGATCAAATTAAACAGCCTTGGTGATTTGCTTGCTCTAACTACTGATCATATGCTGTCTGGGTTGAGCAAATTCTTCCACTCAAGGGGAAATTAAACCCTCTACAAATCCACTGATAGACAAAAAATACACACACGCACACAAAAAAAATGTTGCTAAAGTAAATGCTGTTTAGTGCCTAAGAATCTGATATTCAGAGAATAGCTTAATTTTCTATTCACTCCAAAGTGTTTTTACCGAGTCTTGCATCCATTGTCCAGGTCTTCTCAGTCCTGGAGTCGACCTATCAACACGACAGTCTTCGCTATCTCCTGGACTACTTCGTACCTGCAAAGCACCTCCTGCACAAACTCCAGCAGCATGCCTGTGTGAGTTCTAAACTGCAAACACTGTTTGAATGGAACACACACAAAGCTGAATACTTAGAAACAGAATCAGCCATCACACACAAGAAGTATAGTCTGAGAAATTTACCAGCTAGCTTCTTGATTCCTTTAAAATGGTCCTTGGGTCATTTCTCAGGTAACTTACTTATTGGAACTGACAATTTAAGGCAGTCAAGCCGTAGTTCATAATCTGAGCAATGCCTTGTCAAATTCAGCTATGCAGAATAAACCCAAACCTGTTAGGTGAGTAAAAGATGCGACATCGCCAAATCTCTTAAACAGAAGTTCTAAAGTGCAGATAAATAAATGTAAGTCAATAACTTCTATTTACAATTATGTAGCATACCCATGATAAGAAACCAAATTATTTGATCTCTTCTGTTATCAGCGCTGTAACTGTGTGGCATCCGTGGAAGTTTTAGCCACAGATGCATGAGGAGATGCTTACTGTCTTGATTTCATTTCAACATGAAGTTTAGTAAAGTCCAAGTTATAAAGGTCAAATTAAGCTAAGTCAATTTTAACATTCATTTAAAATTGACAGACAAGTTATTAAAAAGTACTTTAAAAGACAGCAAACGACTAAAGGAACCAATAAGACTAAATTTATTTGCAGTTTGATGGAGACAAAGAACTGCTGGTATTGATCTTGTTGGCAGAATGCAGAACAAATTAAGCCTCAGTCTAGTCTTTAACATTTCTCACTAAATCATTTCAGAACAGTGGAAAACCTGTCTGATTGTTTTTTATTATTTGGGGTTTCTACAGATTCTGGCTTAAAAGTCTGTGATTTCCAATATAAACTGGGGTTGTATTCTCAACAGTCAAGTCCAAGTTTTATGCCGGGGGTCCTGTAGTGTCTCTGTAGCTGGTGACAGGAAGACTCCAGAACTTAAAACATGTAGAGTTTGATACACGTAACCCAATACCAGTTGTTCACTACGTTATGGAGGCTCGAGTCTGCCCCTAAACTTTAGCTGCTCGGTAAAATTTGTGAAAGTCTCTGGTGACATTTGAGATTCGCAAACAAATGAGGTGGTTTTCCTGCCTCGGAAGCTCCAGGAGTGAATGACATGCAGTGCAGTCTTGTGTAAATAAATAGTTTATGTTGTGATGTCTTTAGGATCCCACATACATAAACACAAACGCATATAAATAATATGATACAGGATACACTGTCCAAACCTTGTGCAAACATGCAACTTCCACTTTGTGTCACTCTCTTGCTGTTTCTGCCACACTTAGCCAAACCGAGACAAAGAAATAAGGTGCGATGTCTATTTAACTCGAATCCCTGATGTTTAATTGAACAGCATTCTTTATATTGAACTTTCTGAGACACGCAAAGGTAAACAAGTCGCAGTGTTTAGTGCAAGATTGGTAGCTAAGAACGTTCTCATATTTCCCTCCACAGTTTTCCTAGACTTATACACACACATATACACACCCCCGTACAGCGTTTGTGAGCAAACTATGTTTTCATTGTCGCTGAGTGGAGCTGCCTGGGATGGGAGTTAGACTGTGAGTCATGACAATAATGCCTTCCATATGTGAGTGTGTTACTTGCTGCGAGAGAAAGAGTGAGTAACAGAGAAGCGGTGGGAGTCGAAGGAGAGAATGAACATGACTCCCATTCACTGTGCCTGTGCGAAAACAGAGACGATGCTGGAGTTTAGCAGGCAATAGCAGACTGATTGAGGAATTTTTGAGTAATGGGAGGTGGGGAAGAAGGAGCAAACACTGGGGCATATTGAGGGAGAAGGAGGGGGTGGGCCAGAGGACACAGAGAGTTACAGATTGTGGACTGGCTCGAAATAGGCAAACTTTTTAAGAGAGGAAAAGCTGCACATGCTTTTTAATGCTAATATTCACCCTGACAGATATCAGATACTTGCTTCCCCAAAGCTTGCCACAGTGACAGAACAGGCACGAAATGAGACAGAAGGGAGGCTTAAGAGGAAGAAATTGAATAAAGGACAGAGGTAGAATAAGGGGAGATGGAGGAGAGGCTGAGGAAGGAATTTAATTTGATCACGTCTCGTGAGTCTGGAGGGCACAGAGAGAGGAGCGAGCAGCCCTGTGTCAGTCGATTAGACGTGACTGGGAACAGCAGAGAGAGGCTCTGGATGAGTTTTAGGCTTCAAGGCTTTAAGAAAGGGGATATAGATTGGACACACCACTGATTAAGGTGGGAATAGTGCTTGAATTAAGGTGTATTACCTAAATAGATCAGTTGATTAATCGTGCAGAGGGTCCCACAAGAGGCCCACACTGCTGTGCCCGAAATCACAGAATTTGCAGTTAAATTCTTTTACTATTCACTGGAGGGTTTTCTGTATTTAGGACTGATTGAAATTGATTCTGTCGTTCTTACAGAGCCACCTGATGTGTTTTCCAACTGTTTTAGTAGTGGCTGCCTGTTGCGAGGAGCTGGTCATCTGCAAGTTTCTGTCTGACTCATTGACTCTCTGCTAACTAAGCAGTTTTACACTTAGGACACACGTCATGTCTGACATTTGTATGTGGCACTGGCTTTTGGCAAGTTCAGCTTGTGAAAACCGTTGACTCGTGTGGTATCAGTTCTAGAATTTCTGCTCATTTAAATAACTAAGCCAGATACAACCATGCAGGCGGACACCAGTGTGGGTGTGGGTGAATGGGAAAGCACAATTGTGCACACTGAGGGGACTCTAATGGTTCTAAAAGGAGGTCAGTGCATCACACAGTCGGAAGGGGTTCAGAAAGATGACTTGTTCAGCAAAATCTAACATTATCTGAATGAAGGTTTAATTTTCTGTTCGTACATTTAACACTCTCTCTTTGTTTTCTTGTGTCAGTCTCAGTACCTGGGTTGCTTGTTCCTTCACTCTGGCTGGCCTCTCTGCCTGGGCGAAAAAGTGGTTGTCCAACTTTCCACTTTGGACTGGAGGCTTCTGCGCAGTAATGACTTCTACCTACAGGTGGTTCCCTTCTCTACACGTTGCCCAAGGCTGGCACTAAAATGCCTGGCTCCTGGGGGACGGACTGTTCAGGAAATCTTGGTGCCCGAGTCACAGCATCCCCTTGTGTTCACCACTGAGTGGCTTCACATCATCAACAAAGAGCGAGGTCACAAGAGAGAAGGTAAGGAACAGATTCCTCTTATCTGACCGTTAGAAAAGATCATTGGGGAACTGAAGATTGGGTAATACAGGTGGGTTGCTTGAAGAATCATATTTTTTACCAGGTGGAAGGACAGAAAGACGGGGGCTATGTATATAAGGGTGATGATGGCAGATGGGGAGAACGTAACAGCAGAGCTAAAGAAATGTAACAAAGCAGCTCATTTTAGTCAAGTCAAGCTGATGTTGGTGTTTTCTTATTTTTTAAATTACCCTGTACTTTTTCTTCATAAATGCATTCCTTTCTCTTCTTTACAAAGTTGGAGGAGGACTTGACACCTGTCTGGTCAGTACATGCGATGGTGTGGTTAGACTTCCATGGAAGGAGGTAGTCTACCCAAAATTTATCCACGACCCCTCTGAAGAGTTGGGCCTAATGTCCAACCGTCTGCCTAGCGAGGGGGGTAGCAGCCTCGGAGGCTGGGGTGGCTCATCCTCTGGGGAATTAGACTCCTGGTCCTGGGATGAAGAAGAAGATGAGGATTTGCAACCGGATGGCTTGGACTCTGACTGTGTGCTTCCTCGACGAAGGCGCAGTGAAGACGGCCTTGGGCGGACATCGAGACAACCTCAGCTCGATGGGGATTATGTCGAGCTTTTGGAACCCAGGGGGGGTCCTGATGGAGGAGTCGATCCAAGGCAGCGGTACCAAGAGATGCATGGAATCTGTAAGACCAAGACTCTACCTCTTTGCAGGAGAGGAAAGGCTATCAAGGTTCGCAGAGGAAAAGCATGGGGATATGGGCGAACGGAAAGGTCAGGAAGCTTTCGGGCTATTCTTGGCATCAAAGGAGACGCTGTGGCTGCCAAGGGTGAAGCATTACCGCCACTGCCTGTGCCAGGAGTTGCCGAGCCTGGCCGAGGGAGGAGGTCTTTCTCCTCCTCAGTCCATGACTCTGATGAAGGAGATAAAACAAACAGAGACTCTGAAGGCCTGGAAAGCCGCCGCCTTTGTTTTGATGGCCCATTCAAGGAAAGGAGACCTGGAGTGGGCAAGGAGAGAGATAGCAATGGTCACACACAGCTATGTAAAGATGACCACAAAAGTAAAGAATCCAAGAGCAACAACAGCTTGGACACAGGTGAAATCCATGAGTTAACAAACCACAAAGATGGACACGTTGTAGAGGGCCACTCTGATCACGGATCACATTCGGACTCTGTTTTTGAGGATGCTGATAAACCACTGAGCGGAGACAGTGAGGCTAATACCCCAACATCAGATGCACCACAGAGACCATTCGCTGCTGTTTCAAAAAGTGGTGAAATTACAAACACTGGGTCTAAAAAGAAGAGTTTGTCAAACCAAAAATCCATGGATGAAAAGGATGAAGGAAAAGTGGAGGACAGAGTATGCCCCAGAGGAAAAGAGGTTAAAACGGCAGGATTCAGAGCACCAAGGTACTGAAATATCGTACTCTTTCATCTTATTTGTGTTCTTTTTTGACACTTCTTTATTAAAACACAACTTGATAACACTTAGCTGCAACCTTATGGACACAGAAAGGCCTCAAAAACGCAATGTGGCATGACCGTGACACATGCCTGTAAGTGCAGCTATTAATTTTATGGTGTGCCTCATTAAGATTTTCCTCTGCTTTGTGTTTAGGAGGAAAAGGAAGGGAAAGGGGGCCAAAGGGAAAGCTAAATCTGGGGGTCGTGTAAAGGAGAAGGCCTTGAAAATGCAAGTTAAAACTCCTCAACCAAGCCCAGCCACCTGCACTGCTTCAACAAAACTGCCGACTGCCAAGGAGAGCCAAACAGAGGAAGCAGAGCAGGCTGACCAAACTGAAGGTGCTTCTGCTGCAGATAGCGAGGCGACAGACAACACAGTGAAAAGCAGCGCAGGTCTGAAGAAAACCGTGTTTGTGCACGAACATTTGGTCATGTGTGCTTAACTGTCCTCAGACTGTTTTGTATATTTTTCTGTCTCTTCACAGAAGCTGAATCATCTCTGCCTGTGTGTAACGGACAGTCGGGCACATCTTTTTTTAACCACTCTAATGAGGAGGCTGCGTCACCTGACAAACAGAATGGTGATGCTTCAAAAGAGCCCGCCCTGCTGAGGGAACTGGACGCAGACCTTCTCCAGTCAGGGAAGCTCAAGTTGACAGGCAAGCTTCTTTAGGGCCTTCTGCATAATCAGCTCAGAACATTTTAACAAGGGCCTGTTTAGATATGTGCACTGGACATTTCTAGGGCTTATTTGACAGAGCTGCATATATAAATGCAAATGGCAATTTAAGCAAGAACATATAACCAACAGCCTTTAACACACAGATGTCTAAGTCATCATTGGTGATTACCACAACATCAACTCTAAGTTTTGGGGAAAAACAAAAAGGACTATTTGACAGTTTTGATGCATGTCTGTTAGAATATTTATGTCCAATGGCACTGATTAGTGCCAATGTGAGAACACTGCAGGCTGGTGTATTCCCAGTAAATGGTCTGCTGTTAGCTGTCTGTACACTCCACCCAGGCAGCCCCCAAAACCAGAAGTATTTCCAGTAATCAGATGATTCCTGAGCTAAAAATCTACTTTTACACTTATCAGAAAAGTCAGCTTTGGACCATGTCCTTCCTGGGTTTTCCCACATTATCTGGGTGTTATTTGTGAAATTGCTTCAGTGAAGCCTTTCTAATTACTTTTGTAAAGTAGTAACTTTTTTCTTTTTTGTTGCCTTTCTAGTCTGCATAGCTGGCTTGTATCTTTACCAAGTATCAAAAGAAATATTTTATTTTTTTATGGTACTGAAACAAAACCTGCTTTATTTCCAAAGTTCACATCATGGTGATCCTAAGTAATTCAATTCAATTCAGTTTTATTTATACAGCGCCAAATCACAACAACAGTTGCATCAAGGCGCTTTATATTGTACAGTAGATCGTACAATAATAGATACAGAGAAAAAGCCAACAATCATGCGATTGAGCAAGCACTTTGGTGACAGTGGGAGGTAAAAACTCCCTTTTAACAGGAAGAAACCTCCGGCAGAACCAGGCTCAGGGAGGGGCGGCCATCTGCTGCGACCGGTTGGGGTGAGAGAAGGAAGACAGGATAAAGACATGCTGTGGAAGAGAGACAGAGATTAATAACAAGTATGATTCAGTGCAGAGAGGTCTTTTAACACATAGTGAGTGAGAAAGGTGAAAAAGAAATACTCAATGGATCATGGGAATCCCCCAACATATACCTACTATACCTATTGCAGCATAACTAAGAGAGGATTCAGGGTCACCTGATCCAGCCCTAACTATATGCTTTAGCAAAAAGGAAAGTTTGAGGTCTAATCTTAAAAGTAGAGATAGTGTCTTTAGTAGATATCAATAACACCAACAAGCTTACAGCACAGAGAAAAACCAAATGGATTTGTATGCTTGTAGCCTCGGTGAATTAGTTTGTCCTCTTGGCTTCCCCACTCGATGCTTAACCTGATGCATATTGACCACAGGTACAGTGGACAGGCTGGGGCGTGTTCTGGTTTTCACAGAGGCCGACGCATCAGAAGTGGGTTTCTCTGGGGAGGAGATGGCCCGCGTCTTGGCCTGTTACCACACAATCACGCGGTAAGTGCGTGTTCCTCCTTTGATTGTTTATTTTAGTCGTCCGTTGTCACCAGAGATTTATGGCTTTTAAATACAGGGGGATATTGCCAATAAATGTAGCCTTCGGCTCTCTGATTCCCCCGATTCTCTGAATGTATGTTTAAAAATCTTTAACTGGCTTTTTTTGTTCACATTTTTATATTTAGGCTTGTGTGGTTTGTTTCCTGTTATACCACCGAGACCGAGCCTGTTTAACGAAAAGCGCCTCATAATTATGTTCGACTCGACTGGCTTCTTGACTTTTCCAAATACAACATAAGGTGGTGTGAGGGAAACACAGAGTGTGCCAGAAAACGGAGGACAAACATAACAAACTGACTCAATGTCAGCTTCACAAACACATCTGAGCTTGCCAGTTTACCTGGCACAATAACTGCTACTACTTGTGGCAAGTCAGAACCAAAGCTTCTCAACGGCTTTGGGTAGAAATGATGTGATTCTATGCAAATGACCAAAAAACTCTTGTTTAAGAACAAATGTTTGTTTCAACTTCATCGTTTGGTGAAAATACCTAAATAAAAATGGCTATTACACTGGTTTAAAGCTAAACACTTATTTTTAACATCTCTCTCTTCATCCACCCTCAACAGGCCTGCAGCCAAAGAAAAGGGTTTAACAGTGTTAATGGACAGCAGGCGCGCCCCACCCTCCGCTCTCTTGTTCTCTGCTCTTAAATTGTTCCAGGTGAGACAGCACAAGGACGCTGGTTAACTGGAAGTGCTAAATGTTTGCATGCACGCTTTAATTAGGCTGCAGATGTGATAGTAGCTCGAGCACATGTGTTTTTGTGTTTGTGCCAGGGGTCGGTCCCCGGTGGTCTTGGATCCCTTCTGGTGTTGGTGGAAGAGCAGCAGGAGTCCCCTTCTCATTCCCTGGAAGGAGCAGAGGTGACCTCATGCACATCACATGTTTAGACTGTATTACTAAGCTCCTCATGGTTAAGTCGGTTATACTTCTTTTACTTGCAGATCCGTAAAATGAATAAATGTGAAGTTATGAAAGCATGTCAAAAGCTCAGTGATAAATAGCACGAGAAAACATTAGCAGAAAGCAAGTTCCTGTAATTCTATTGCCTATTATAATGTCAACAGGAAAAAGTGTTCATATAGGAAATGCAAATTGCGCGAGAGGAAATAATGTTCCATAAATTGTCCCTGTTCCTTGTTGCAATGCGATCAGTGTCAGAAGTGCTTAAGCTGGAGTGCACATTCACATTGAGCTTGAATCTATTAAACCCAATTTCCATACGTTTGGAACATCTACTGCTTTCAGATAACTCGGTTTTACCGCTAATTCAGCATATTGCTTTGCACCGATCAGCAGAAATCTTTCTTGCGCACAGGCACGGGAGGATCGGTCATGCCACGTGGTTTGTGTTTCAAGCAGGCAGTGTTCAAACTTTGGATGTCGACGACAAACACTTCCAAGAAGATGTGAACGCTGTAGTTAAATTACAACGTCAGCACCATGTTGAATTTCAGTAACCAGTTGTGTACCTGCTCAGAAAGTAAAAAATAAATCATAATACAAGTTAGTTTTTTTTTATTCTCTCCCATTCTCAGAACCTCTAGCCATAATTGCCATTTAATAGAATCGCAAATAACAAAGAGGTCAGCATTATTCTCTCACTCAAAGTGGCCACATGCCCTGATAATATGGTTTAAACAGGTGATTTTTGAAAACTTATGATTGGCACAGCAGGTTTGTTGATGTTTTTAAACTCTTGGAGCTTTTCACTTGGTGTGTACTCAGTAAACATTGCCAACACTAACACATTCAGATAAGAGTTTATATGTTCCAGGCTTCAGTGTGATTTAATTTATTTCTTTTTTGGTCTAATTTCCTTAAAAGCTTTTATTCTTCTCAAACATACAATAAGAAAGTCACTTCCTCTGCCCCTTACTGTTTCTCCTCTCCTGTGCAGGTCCACACAGTGCGAGGAACGAGTGTCCTTCAGCAGTATGTAGACAAACAACAGCTGCCCAAAGAAGTAGACGGGGACTTTATCCACTGCCACGCGGACTGGCTGGCCTTCAGACTGGTGAGGAGCTCTGTTTTGTCTGTTCGATTATGCAAACATGAAAAAGCATCCTTGAACTTTTCACATTTGATTCTCCACTATAGCATTTGTGTTTTCAGTGGTTCATCCACAGAGTGGAGGTATGACGAAGTTTAGACTTCAGTGTAAACAGGAACATTAATCAGTCAGCTGCAGTCTTCAAAGTGACTTTGGTGTATCAGGGCAGCAATAAAAACAATTAGAGTCTGCTATTAGTTTGTGATTGAATCAGGTCAAAATGGCAATTGAATGCAATTTGTTTGTGATAATACGGTCATTAACTCATGAATCAGTGAAAATTTCAAACCTGTCGCCATCTCGATGAACAGAAATTCACACTAACGGCTTGTATTCAGAGTCTATCCAGAAACTCAGAGATCTGAAACAGAAATTCATAAATTCCTCCACAAATCATGATGTAGTTGCTGCAGAGTGGCAATTTAACAGCTACTTGACATAAGAGCTGGAAAACCTTTCTTTTAAACAGGAATATAACCAGAATACAGCTAACCAAATCCATTTTGCAAAGAGACACGTCACAGAAAACTTGCACCTTGATTGCAAAACCTTCACCGATCCATCTGATAGTGGTTGTTTGGAGACATGTTTCCTCCTATATGTGACCCATGCCATCTCCTTGTAATCAAAAGCTGTCGCCCAGAGATTGTGGGTGTTGTATGCTCAGCCTCCTGGAGACTAGTTAGTTGCCACAATGACTTATAATCCAAAACATTTAAGCTATCACTGGGCAGCCACAGATTTTCTCTAGTCACAAGAGGGTTGCTGTCCTATTTTTACTCCCGTGTGCATCAGCATGTGTACATCAGGGATGTCAAAGTCATTTTTCACATACAGCTCACTTTGATCTTAAGCTGTCGGACCACTGACCTAACCCTAACCCTTTCTGTCAGGAAATAATGAAATTTCGATAGCATGTCTCGTTTTTTTTTTTCACATTATTAAAACATTCTGCCTTAGTAAATGAAAAAAATGTGTCGGCACGACTGTTTGAGGTTTTGTTCTGTAATTATAAAACGGAAAGTTTCTGTTAGTTCACAGGAAATGCCATTTTTGTATGTAGCTGAGGAATTTTCTAAAGCAAAAAGTCCTTAGTGTATTTTTATTGTTATTATTTTTAAACTTCTTACAGACAGCTTGGAATGAACAAGCTCAAGTAACCCACTCAAAGTCCGGAGTTCTTGTAGCTCGTAACTTGTTTCGAGTTTTGGGTACCTCCAGTGTAAAATATGACCTCTGACAGTTGAGGGAGTATTGTGGGAGAAAGAACATCTAGGAGGGAGGGAGGCGAAATAAAAGGATGTTGGCTGGGAAAGAGTGGTCGTCTGCTGGTGGTCGATTATTTCAGACAGGCATGATGAACTAGGTGAAGAAAAAACACAGCCCGTAAGAATCTCAAGGACCCTTAATGGCTTTCCCCCCACAGTTTATGTTGCTTTATCTAAACAGTTGAAAACATTTTCCTATCCTCTGGACTTTTTCTGACCTCTCCTGTGGATTACAAAAAAGGTGGAATGAAAGAGAGATTTCATGTGTTTGTGTGGATTTCTACTTCTTTTTGTCCTGTTTAGAGTCTGGAGAGTCTGACAGAGCGCTGTGAGAGCGCCCTCTCACTGCTTGGAGAAGCACTGCAGTCTATGGACGCTGAGCCAATGCCAGACAACATAAAGGTCCATAACTTTAACATGATGCTCATTCTACTCGTTGTGTGCGCTCAGATATATTTGTGTTTTAGTAACTTACCAGTCTCTATAAAAACACACACAAAAGGTACAATACACATGCTTATCTTTTTCAGGCTGTTCCTCTGAGCATTGACAAACACAGGCAGCTCATGGCCAGCGTCCTGGCCGACCAACGGTTAACTGAGCTGCAGCAGAAGGGCGGGGCCTGGCTTGCTGGATTGACAAATAGAGCATCTGGACTGGCACAAAAGTCACCAGACTGCAGGTACCAGACACCTAATTCATCCAGTATTTGTAGGACTACTGAATTTTTATTTTATGGATTATACTTTTTTCTTTCTTTTTTTTTTTTTTTTTTAAATCAAGTAACAAAATCCAATGAAAATATTGGGGCCAAAAACCCTGGAAAACGAACACTCCCGGTTATTTAGTGCTAATCAGCATATGCTAACACGCTAAACCACGATTTTATAGTGATTTTTAGCCATCTGTCAGTGTTAGCACCATCATGCTGAACATGATTTGGCTCCACCATTGATTGGCCACACCTTCTCTGAGCTCTGCCAGCAGTGTTAGTTCAATGCCTTGTCATCTTACAGAAACTATTGGATTTGCATATAAACTGAAGCCTCATTTTCCTATTCTTTGCTGACAGGACAAACACCCAAGCCTTCCGCCTTCCTATCAGCTCATTAGTAGTCTGGCTACTTTCCACTGACCTCTGACATCAACAAGACGTTTTCTTGCAGAGTTTAATTCTCTATAAAATCTTAGAGCTGTTTGTGTGGGGGAAATCCCAGTATATCATTAGTTTCTGACACTCTCAGACCAGTCCGTCTGGCATTAACAACCATGCCATGTTCACTAAAATCAGCCTTTTTCCTAAGTTTGAACTTCGTTGGGTTCCTGCCATGTGATTGGCTGATTAAATTATCGTTTTAATGGGTAGCTGAGCACACATATGTAACAAAGTAGCTGGTGACCTTCCACCCGAGTGTCGTGCCACCCCAAAGTTGTGCTTGGAGCCTATTGCCACACTTTACCAGCAATGAACTGAAAGCTATTTCCTTCTAACATCCAGTAGCTGTACTGTGGGCATTTTATGCATTCCTGAGTTATTTTTTAATACAACCTAACAACCCACAATGTTATGATTCTGAAAAGATGCTTTAATATACATTAAGCACAGGACTTGAAGACTATATTTTAAACTTTCTTCTGTTTTCCTTTCCCATGCTTTTTAAAATTTTGATTGAAGGGTTATTTTGTCAGGATGAGCTTTAGGTTAAAAATAATCTTCCTGACAAAAACAGAGTTGTTTGTTTTTGGCCATAAAATGAAAACCAGCTGGAGAAGAAAACACATCAAATAAAGGACAGAGCGATGCAGCTTGTTTGTGCATGACTGCAGCTTAGAGATGATCTGAAGACTGTTGTAGCTCTTCTGTTCTTACTGTGTAATGAGTTTTGGCTTAAGCTGTGCAATAATACAAGATGGGTTTTTTCTGTGCTGTACATGAGACGTTGTTTTATAATTAGATCATTTCTGTCAGCATGATTTTGAAGAATTTAAATGAAAACCAAAATTTCTTTCTTCTCCTCTCAGAGCTGCTCTTGCCGTAACTTCTAAACTTTATGACAGCGTGGACGATGCACTCCATCGGCTTGTCCGAGTGTCCAACCAAAGAGGTCGTGACCTGGAGGCGTTGGGGCGTCTGGCGGGGTTGGTGGACAAACTGGAAAAGGTATCTGAGGAAGATTTGCTTTACTTTAAAATAACCTACACTCTGTAATCTGCGTATTTCTTTTTTGCTTCATCATCTTCAGTTTTTCCACATCTTATGCGTAACAGAGCGCCTCATGTCCTCCACTCACCCAAACCTCCGCCTTTAATCCACAGTGCGATAAAGAGATTGAGCAGGTTCAGTCGCAGCTGGAGGACTACAAGGATCCTCCTCTCTCCCTCAGCAGACTCTCGCTCAAACAGCAGAGGTTCAAGACGTTCAAAGAAACGGCCAATGTGAGTAATGCAAAGATGAATGTGCTTTTTGTGTGAAAACATTTTCACATGTCATGTTAAAATATGCAGGTTCACTGGGCTCAGTGTTATGGAGCCAGTCTTAACCCTTTAAATTCCTGATTAAATAATTGCCAATTTTTTTTTTTTTTTTTGGGGGGGGGGATAAAGGATGAAGTGTTTTTTGAATCTTCTGACAGCTAAAAAACAAAAATATGAAATTGCATATATGAGTCTTAATTGCATCGTATTTACCACATCTGGCATTTTTGGCGATTTATTGATTAAAAATCCGCTTTGTAATTTACTAATAACATTTTTCGGTGGGGGGGGGAGATCACATGGATGCTGTAGAAGTCTCTAAAACTCACCAAAACTGTGTGTATCAAATGTAAAACACTAGGCGTTAAAGGGTTGATGCTAAATAAAAAACAACTATGCAACGTAGATTAGAAAATTTCCCTCTTTCATATCATCTTACAGTAGCAACACTGTTGCTGTGGCTGAGTAATTCATTCATTTGCATAACGGCGTCAGTCACTGATGGCAATGACTGAGACTCAGAAGGATTGACTCTGTGTGTGTGATCTGAATGAAATTCTTTGAAATTACATATAAATACAAGTTTATATTAGTGTTAGTAAGTTAGTGTGGATAGGTTAATTGGAAACTCTAAATCGCCCATAGGTTTTCATTTGAAAAAGCACCGTGTTCTCTCCATGTTGGCCTCCAGTCCACACTGAGACGCCGTTTTTGCTCAAGGAAAACGCAGCGTTTTGGAAATGCTCTTTCGTGTCGCAGTGTAGACAACAAAAACGGAGACTTTCTAAAACGATGACACATTTTAGTCATGTGATGCAGTCATGTGACCAATTAAACTAAGATAGCGGAGGGCATTATACAGCAGTTGTTTTGTTTGCGCTCAATTTTGACAGCCCTATTAAAGATTAATATCAATCTGTACACGCTTCAGATAGCTTTTCTTCAAATTCTTTAATTCTCACTCGCTTTTGCAACTTTGTACTTTTGTGTTACTCACAGCAACAACTCCACCTCATTGTTAGTCCATTTAAAAACTCGGTGCTTTTCCTCGACATTTTGCTGCGACGTTTCAGAGAGCCGGAAAGTAAAGAAACGGCAGACAGAAATGAGGCAGGTGGAATTGTCTTGCGCTTCACGCATGCGCAGTACTGGAACGTAAGCGTTTTCGTCCGTTTTTGACACGCAACTCTGTGAAAACGACTGAAAACGCTAGTGTGGACGTGGAGCGTTTTCAAATTTATCCTTGCTAGTGTGGACAGAGCTTAAGACAGCTGGGATAGGCTCTAGCCCACCCGCGACCCTGAAAAAGATAAACAGTAGAGAATGGATGGAGATCAGGTGTAAAATCAAAGGAGTTGTAAACACAGAGTTCCTGCAAACATTGTGGCTTTAAAATGGTTTTGGTAACAGGCTGTCTCTTTTCTCTAATGCTTACAGCGATGTCTAGCCCTGATCTCTTGACAGTACTTATGTGTTGGCAGCTGTGACTCATATAGACTTTGATTTAATTGGTCTTCTAAAGGTCATTTAGATTTCATTCATGATATTCACAAAACGGTGAAATATGACTGCCACACACCGTCTCATGTACCGCTAATACACTTATTACATCACAGTGTTTTGGTCCGACTGACCTTCTTCAAGTACAAAGGGAGTGTCCAGTTTTATCTGCATGTAAATGACTTTTGGTAAGTAAGCACACATCATGATAACAACATGGAGAATATTCACATACAGTTAAAGCGTCCGCCCTCAGAGCTTTTGCTTTCACTTTGTTTCTACAGTACATGTAAGCATCTTAACATCGCCCACAAAAAAAATCCCTTCTGTCACGTCAACTCTGGGATAAGAAATCTTATTAGTCGTACTTAAGACACATGTGTTACTGTGAATCACCCACTGTAGGGTTTGAGAAGTCAATAACTGAAACGATAAACTGTGAATAGATGTGCTTTAAGCCCACTGTGCCTTTCAGTGGCATATTTGTGTCATTCTCATGGAGACGAGCTAATGAAAAGTTTTCCCAGCATATTCCCAAGAGATGCAGTCAATATTTTTCCATCCATGATTTCCCAAGTGTGTCCTGTCAGTCTTCTACAGTAAATACTTCTTGACAGCCCATTTTCTGGCATCTTTCAGGAGCTGCACAGTGAGACTCTATCACTGCTCAGTGATTTGGAGGGCTGGTGTGAACTGGACTGGGCAGGCCTGAGCAACGTCCAGATCCGACTCCCTCCGGTCAGGGAGAAGCTCAGGGACATGTCCCACTGTCTGTCTGACTGCTGGACCACTCTGGACAACACGCAGAGGTTGTTGTCCACTCTGACCGAGGTACGGCACAGGAAGACCTCTGCAGCACACACACAGGAAGTTATAAACATACAGTCATGGTTCCAAAGTGTTTTAATGCCGAGCGGAAGTCCTAATGACTTCCCTGACTTTCCTGTCTCTTGTGCAGGCCACCCAGTGGTGCGATGCAGTCTCCTCCACCTCCTCCTCTTCCTCTTCTTCCACCTGCCCTCTCGCCTCCCTCCCTCCAATACCCCCGTCCCGTTTCCAGGACGCACGCTCTTTAGCAATAGAGCTGGGTGGCGGGGCACTGCTGGATCTCTGGACTCAGACAGTTGAGCGATACCAGCGAACAGTAGCACAGGTCAAGCCCCGATTCCTCCAGTCTGACCGGACGCAAAATCAGGGACAGGGGAAAACCAAAACTCCCTCTGCCAGCAGCCTCTGGGACCTGATGGGCCCCGAGGGAGAGGGTGACTCCTGGGGGCTGGGAGCTGGCGGAGGGGAAGGCGGATTGCAGTCCTGGGGATCCCTGGCATCACTGTTCAGACCGCAGACCTGCTCCACACTGAAGATAGGAGAGGAGAAAGGGAATAAGAAAGAGGGAACGGCAGGAGGAAGTGGTGCGGGAGGAGGTGGGGCCGGGGGAGGGAAGTTTCTATCGAACCTTCTGAATCCTACAAAGAAGAGCGTGAGTTTGATTTCTATTTTATGGTAATGTTTTCTGTTCTATGATCTGAGGTGTGTTACAGGACTGTACTGTTGTAACTGAAGTGTGTCACAGTCACACCAATGACCAGTTCAATTCCCTTACAGCCCACAGAGGCTCCACTTCCCTTCAAGCCACCTCGGAAGCGTCACCCAAGCTTTGACCTCCAGGCTCTCCTGGCCCCCCGTCGAGGTACAGCCACCCCCAAACCCGCTGAGTCGCCGGTGGCTGGGGCGAGCCGTAACTCCCCCATGTCCTGGCTGGGACGACGGGCTTTGGCCGACCAAGTCATTACTACTAGCATGGCTGCAGCTATTCCAGGATGGAGCGGTGGTGGTAGTAGTGGCGGAGGAGTGTTGATCCGAGGAGTGGAGGTCAGCAGCAAGGAGGTGGTGGATCACACGGGGTCACCGCGCCAGCATGTACTGCTGGGGAGGACAGACAGGGAGACGGGGACGGATAGGGCCGGTTCAACCGCACAGAGGTGTGTGATGGCTTTCTTTGCTTTTTTTTTTTTTTTTTTTTTTGTCCTTTTTCCATGTACTCCACTTTCCTCGTAAGAAAATCAGTCAGAGATAGACATAATAAGTCGCAGCAAGAATGGAACAGGCTGAGATGAAAGAAAAAGCGATGCATAGTTTTAGGGATAATTTAAGTACAACTGAAGGCTCTTTCGCATTGATTTTATCAGTCAGGATGCAATCTTAGATCATTTTTTCATTACTGAGTCTTTGATCTCAATCCGTTGCTATCTTCGCTCTCGCTTCCCCTTACCTCCCACTTGTCCACTTGCTTCCATGTTTGTTTCTCCTTTAAGTGTATTCATGCACTGTTTCTTTCCTCCCCTCCCCACCCTTTGCCATCTCCACCGCAGTAAGCTGTACCTGCTCTGGTGTAGGATGCTAAGTTCAGAGAGGCAGTACGTGACTGTGCTAAAGGGGGTAGAAGAGACGTACCTGCCCTTACTGGAGCTCTCAGACACCCCAGCTTCCATCAGGGGGAAGGCAGACTCGCTGTTTCCCAACTGGGCCAGCCTCACCACCTTTCACTCGCAGGACCTACTCCCAGCCATGGAGGGCGCTCTTGTGCAAAGCCTGTTGCAACAGGACTGCTTCAGTAAATTTGTAAGTTGCAAAATGCCAAGTGAAGCTGTATGACTGCATGCACTGCTCTTCAGTTTTACATAAACCTCTGAGGGGTTGTTTTATATGTTTGCATATAGAAAATGTCACAGATTAGTTAGAAGTCAGCATAATTTGCTTAAAAATATCCATTAAATCCCTCTCTGTGTAATTAATCTGATTAAAATCAATTAAAAACAACTTTCTCGCCTGTCACCACACAGCGGGACCAGTTTCTGCAGTATTCCCAGTACATCAGGACCAAACCAGACCTGGATTCTCCACTGGTCACACAAGCAGCCGACTTTTTCAAGGTAGGATTCATCGTGCCTCTTAAAAAAAGAAGTAAAAACCAGTCTTGTTCCTGCAGAGATTTTACTGAGAGAGTTGCGGTCTTAACTCTTATTCAACCAGTTCATCTCAGTAAACATGATTTCAAAGCGATAAAAGTGTCTCTTAACAATAAACCCTTTTTTTTTTTTTTTTTTTTAAATTTGGTTATTTTCTTTTTTTAGAAAACTGGTTACACAATGTAAGAGCGTTGCTATGAGTCTTTTTTTTTTTTTTTTTTGAACACATCACAGGCTCAAGCCAATTAAAGCTGCTTTATTTGTTGGTGGCGGCAATTATGAACGAGCTGTATACAGTAAAGTTAATTACAAGTTTAATGCACACTAGAAAAGCCAATTAAAGGCGGATTACAGAGAAAGTCATTGGAGCTCCCGAGCTACAATTAACAAAAACTAATACATCGACAGCATCGTGAGATTATTATGAGGGCTATATACAGACAGATCAAAGAGCTCAAAACCTCTGAGGCGACGCTCAAACCCAGCATTTCTAACGAGTCGCCACCAGGAGGCAGCACGTGCTCAGGCCACACTGAGCAGCAGCAGCAGCTGTAAAGCAGCTTGATAACAGGGATATGGCTATCATGATGGCAGGGGACATTAAACTGGTGTTCATTTTGAATGATGATGGTGCTGATGATTGTTACTGCTGCATAGCTGCTTCTTCAGGGTTACTAGGATCAGCGGATGAAAAGAAAATGGAAGAAACATTAAAGCAGCAGCTACGAGTTGGAACTTTCATACTTGCTGAGCAAAGCCATAGTTACCTTGATTACACGTGTCTAAAAAAAAAAGAACCGTTTGCCAAAACATGCCAAATGATGTCACAATCATCCACAGAGAGTTGTGTTAACTGCGACTGTAACTATCTCAGAGGAGCGGCTCAGCCTGATGTAGCATGTTTGAGAGCTGATGCTAGCAAAGACTTCATGGCATGTGGTGGGCAGGCTGAGCGTGGACCAAAGGGGAGCCCATACACTTTTTTATTTAGACCCTGAGCGTTTTCTTTAAAGCAGCGAGATGCGAGGGCGCGTGTCTTTATAAGGGATCCAAATCAAAAAGTGATTCCTGCTGAGAACTGGTTACAACTTGTCCAATCCATCAGAGCCTCATGCCTCCAAGCTCAGCAGCTCAGATTTATTATGTTTTTCTGTCAGCTGCCTGTTAGAGAAAAGGTTATCAAATACTTTTCTATGCGCTGTTTAGACTTGGAGATGATAAAATAGTTGCAGTGCTGAAAACTTGTGTAAGCTTTTATTTTTTTTCAACCAAAAATCAGAATTAGGAATCAATGAGGAAATCAATAAAGAACTGGATGTTTAATAATCATAGAGAGATCACTAAAATCATATCAATTGCCATCTCTAGACCAGCGAACTGGCAAATCTTCACTAGTTGCATGTGATTTATATATTATTAAGCTTATTGGGCTGAAGGGCGATGAGCTAAAAGTGTGCTTACATCCACGGTTCACAAGAATCGCCGCTCATCCTGCAGCATCGCTCACAATTTAATCACACAGTGGACACAACGATCACCTAATGGGTCTTCGCCGAAAATGTGCTTGAGCTCAATGTCACCTTTGACGATTTTTTTTCTCAGGTGAATCTTGTGAAGTGTGATGGGCCACAAGCCGGATGAGCTGCTGTGTCATTGACGTTCCGGTTTATAGGCGTATCTGTTAGAATTAGAGGTGTAAGACACGAGCTGGCCTCTTTTACTGTCTCTTTATATCATCTGTTTTGACAAAGACCAAAAATCACTGTTGTTGTCCTTATTTTTGGGTGGGAAAATTCACATGTTCTAAAAAAGAAAACTTGTTCAGTGTCAGAAAACAAAAAAATGTCACTGATTTTCCACTAAGTAAAGTCAAAGTAAAAAAACGCAGACACCTTTCGGGCCATTTAGGTCAGGACATTGTCTGAAGCTGCCCTTTCTAAGATATAGGACATAACAGGAATCGGTTGCTTTAGATGAGTTCCGAAAATGCTCTGGTTGGAGGAGGTGGGGGTCCCGGCAGAGGGCACAAGGTAGGACATGTGACATCCATGGGCGAAGCTTCTGACTGTGTTTTAAGGTGAACACAACTTATAGTGAAGTGTGTAATAAAATACAGTGAACACAGCCCAGCTGAACATGATGGGGGAACACCAGCAGACTTGCTAACGTTACCTTTTTATTTGTCCTTCCCTCCCCTGTTTCAGTCAAAACTTCCCCAAGCCTCCCCCGTCTCCCCTCTGGCCTTCCCTCACTGTCTGCAGGCTCCCATTCAGAGGCTGGAGCAGTACTGCGAGGCGCTGGAGGAGCTGGGAGGCATAAACCCCGCCTCAGACTCCGCCCTCTCCATCCTGAGACACGCCCAGCGGCACGGCGAGGACCTCAGGGCCAGTGACCTCATCGTCGGATGCCCGGTGAGAATGCTTGTCCCAGTTTATGTCTCTGCAACTGTCAAGTCCCACTTTCTTTTCTTAGAGAGAAAGAAACTAAAATCTTGTTGAGGTCAGGCCAGTGGAAGTGACTTATTTCTCTTTTACCCCCAAATAAATCAAATAAATGTATTGGTGTTTATTTTCCACACAAACACTAGAAACACGGCTTACATTAGCCATGTTTCAAGAAGAACACATTAAAGAATTCATGGAGGCACATAAATAGAAGCTCATTTGCATTTTCTTACTACTACAAGATGTTAAGAGGTGTTGCTCATAAAAGGAAAAGCCCATTTATTGTGAACTACAGTCTGCGGCGTCTATTTATAGAAAGAATCAGGACAATGTGCGTGAATGTGTGAGCATCTAAACTCGCATACTATGACTGAATCCGTCAGCATTACTTTGGCTAAATGGAGATCTTCCATCTGGATATGCAGAGATCATAAGGTGTGGGAGCAGCAGCAGCATATCTGGTACAGAGCGGAGCAGGCATCAGTAACAACAGACATGACACTGATGAAGTCAAACACAGCATGAGGAGGAGGAATTGGGGTAGAGGTGGGCTGCAGCTTGCAGAGGCAGCTGCAACTCCAGGCAGGCTAAAGCAAGTCAAACATTGCATTATGTATGAGATTTGTCAGTGTTAGGGGCCTGACCACTTTTTCCTTCAAGCCGATGATATTTATTTGCTAATACATTGATATTGGTCTGCAATGGTTGATAAATGACATTTTAAAAAGTGAAGAAGAAATCGGAGAAAGAGCCTACAAATGTGTTATGAGTGTTTGTGTTGCAGTTTTTCCATCTGTTCAATTCAATTTTATTTATATAACAGTTGCCAGAAGATGTTCTAAGGTAAAGAACAAGCACTTGGCAACAGTAAGAAGGAAAAACTCCTTTTTCTCAGGAAGAAACCTCTGGCAGAAGCAGGATCAGAGAGGGGCAGCCATCTGCTCCACCCAGAAGCCGATCTGGAGCTTTTGGGAATACCAAAAAAGGAACAAGTAGCTGATTCGAGCAGAACCGCCTCATTGTTTTTTGTTTGTTTTTTTTTTGCCTGATCATTTTTTTTTATATTAGCCATTTACCAATATAGAGGGTACATGCTTTTAGGAGTATTGATTTTGCATAGTTTGTCCACTAGATGGCACTGTGCAACTTTCCCGTTAGGAGCACATGTTTGAAACACCAAAAACACAACAAGCTGCTGATGTGAGCAGAGTCGGACGTTTTTCTTCAGTGCGATGGTAGCTATTTTTAAATGTATCAGTATCGGCATTATAAAGACAAATAAGATTTCAAATTTTTAAAAAAGTAAGAAAGAGACGGGAAAAACACTCAATCTTTTTCTGAGGGCTGATGTTTCATAGTGTGTCCACCAGGGGGCACTCTGCATGTTTCCTGTTGGCAACAAGTTTGGAGAACTAAAAACAGAGTTTTAATATTAAATATTGAGCTACAAATAACACATGTCAGGGAAATCTGTTTAAGTTTAGAAATATGAAAGAAAAAAATATTAGCCGATGTATCAGAATATCAGATTTTTGAGTCATCGGATATTGGCAACATTATCTGTCTTAAAAATCCTTTGTGAGTCGGGGTCTAGTAAACCTAGAAGCTTATCAGCTGATGTGGTTTTCCACTGAGATCAGTTGTCATCATCTGATCTCAATCCAGACTGAGTTTAACCTGAATTATGAAGCTGAATCTTTCTTATTTCCTAGTCCTGAGAGCTGCAACAAGGACGTAGCAAGTGGGAGGAAAGACTGTGTTCTCCCACTGGAAATAAACAAAAACCGAAAGACTTATCAAAAGTCCAAAAACACTAACATCCCTGCGCCCTACACCACTGTACTCTGACACAGCTGTAATATTCAGTGGTAGTCGTGACAAATGTTTGACACACACACACACACACCTCTCATCTCTCTGCATTCTGAACGAGGGGAAAGATTACAGCAGCACAAACACTTGCGCTGAGCTACTTCAAAATTGCGCTGCAACACCTCTCCAAGTAAAAATGATTTTAAGTACAGCTGTGTGTGTGTTTGGGTGGGTGTAGATGTGGGTGTTCATAAAGTGTGTGAAGCATCACTTATATCATGACCCACTCATTTCTAGAGGTTTAAAAATAAGAATCTACTGTATGTCAGTGGCCGCTTGTAAAATTCCAGACCTTTTTAAATTCATTGTCCGCACGCTTTTGTTTCGTTTGCATTTGCCTTGTTTGTTGCTCTTTTGTGCTTTTGCATATCTAGCATTGACAATTATGTAATTTCTTTTTCGCCTATTATGAGTGTCTGTGTGCCTTTGACTTCCAACAGCATCTCAAAGTCGCAACCCTGTAATTGACATGAACAAAAAAGTCACTTTTTTTTCTTTTTTTTTATTATTACAAAAGATGTGATTCAGCTGGCCAATTAGAGCAAAGATCCAGCAGAACGAAGCATCCATGTGAAGAATATGTCACCATGCAAGGCACTGTAATAATAATGCTCCTTTGTCCTTCGCAGTTGAATAGAGAATAAAGCTTTTCAGTCTTTGTAGTCAAAGTGTCTCGCAACTCCAAACAGAAAATTAGAGTAGGTGCAGGAGGGAGGATTTGAGACTTTATAATACGACGACCGTTTAATTTTTAACTCCTAGTTTTTGTTCTACAGATGAGCAGAATCAACAGAGTTTTTCTTCTCTGAGCGAGTGGGGGAAAAAATTGAATCTGTAAAAGTGAGAATATTTCGCTTTGTTAGCGTTTTATGGATTCTCAGATATAATGATGCTTATTTATTTTTATTTCTGTTTTCAAGATAATTAATGAACCAATTCAATCAAGATTGGAACCTGGCAAAGAGACAGGATTTTAAAGCTCAGGCCTGAATTTCCTCTTAAGATTGAAATGAAGATGGTATCTTTTGCTGAGGGTTGGTCCTGGGCCTAAGGCCAATATAAGTGTGTCCTAACGTGTGTGTGTTTGTGTGTGTTTTCAGATCCCTGTGACGGAGCGCGGCGAGCTGGTGCGGCAGGGTGAGCTGACGGTGAGCGGGGGAACTCGGAGGAAGCGGGCGGGCGTGAGGAACGTTTTCCTTTATCAACACGTCGTAATCTTCACTAAACACAAGAATCCCAGCCCGGGACGCACCGCCTACAGTTACAAACACAGCATCAAGGTGAACAGCTCTCTCACACACACACACACACACACTCACACACACACACACACACACACACACACACACACACACACACACTTCTCCTTCACACCATCTCCAGCACTTTGTCTTATCTGTAAAATCTGCTTTCTGTCTAGATTCTGTTGAAAGCAAACTAAATTTGAGGTTTCTAAAGTTTTTTTGGGCGCTGCTTTATCTCCCCCCCTCTTTCCTCTATAAACTCTTTTTAACTCTGTATTTTTCTTTTGAATCACAACATCACCTGATAGAGATGTGCAAGCACAGATGACCAGTGCATACCGATGGGGCATGAAACCTTTTACCTCTCGTATTCCTTGCACAAAGGCAATGTGACGTCCAGATGTGCTCGTGTGAAAATAGAGCAGGCAAATCTCTGGTGAATTCCCAGTCATGTGTCCTGCCTTTCCCCTCACCTAAACCACATGAAGCATTTCCAGCAGTGGGATTGTGTCAGAAGCAGACTTCCTGTCATAGAGTTTGTGTGTGATTTTAACACTTCTCCATGCAGACGAATGAGATGGGTCTGACTCAGAGCGTCGGCGAGGAGGGAGTGAAGTTCGAGGTGTGGGTCCGACAGGCCCCGAGGACCAGAGACTGCATCACCCTGCAAGCGCGCGACAGGGAAGACCGAGAGGCCTGGACTCACGACATAGCCCATCTGCTGTGGACACATGCCATCAACAATACAGGTAAAGACCTTTAACTCGATAAGCAACAGCTCAGTATTCCTTCAGCAGCTTAGGAGCAATGTATATTTTAACAGTGCTGTTACAAAAACTGAAAACATTTTCCTTTTTCCTAATTTTCATTTTTTTTGTTTGCTGTTTTGCACCGTTTCAGATCATCAAACAGTTTTTAATAATCAACAAAGATAAGCTGAGTAGATGTAATATGTATTTTTTGAATGATGATTTTATTTCTTAAGGGAGGCAAAAGCTGTCAAAATCCATCTTGGCCCTGTTGTGCAAAAATAATTGCCCTCCTTTGTTAAGTCTTGAATTAACTGTATTTAATCACATTTCTTAGAAAGCTGAGTTCAGTTTCAAAAACCACAGCCAGGCCTGATGAATCGAGAAATGACTTCAATAGAAGTGAAGCAGGCTAAAAGGTCTCAAAAAGCAACACGTCATGTCCTGATCGAAAAGATACGGCTGATAAACAAAGTCATTGATTATGTCCGTCTGGAAACTGGTACAAAGCATTTTTAAGGTTTTGGAACTCTATGAACCACGATATGAGCCATTATTCACAAATGGTATAGCAAAGTAACTCCAACATCACATCAAAAACTCATCCAGGAGGTCACAAACAACCCCAGAAGAACATTAAAGAACTACAGGCTTCACTTGCCTCAGATAAGGTCAGAGTTCTTGATTCGACAATAAGAAAGAGACTGGATGAAAATGGCGTCCATGGGAGAGTTCAAGGAGAAAACCACAGCAGACCAAGAAGAACACAGAAAACATTTTGATGATTCCCAAAACTGTTGGGAAAATATTCTGACGAGACAGAATTTGAACTTTTTCAAGGCTTGAGTCCCGTTACATTTGCAAAAAACTAACACAGCAATTCCTAAAAATCCCATCATACCAGCACTCAGACATGGTGGTGGTAGTGTGATGGTCGGGGCTGCTTTGCTGCTTCAGGACGACTTGTTGTAACTGATGGAACCATGAATTCTGCTCTCTACCAGAAAATCCTGAACAAGAACGTGTGACCATCTAAGCTCAAGTAATTTTTTTGGAGTGATTAAGGTCATGTCAAAGCATCTCAAACTGCCCGTTAATGCTCAAAAGTCCTCCAATGTATCTGTATTACAACAATCCTGCAAAGAAGAGGTGCCAAAGCTCCTCCACAGTGATGTGAAAGTCTCGCTGCCAGTTCACCAAGACTTGAATGCAGTTCTTGATACCAAGGGTGGAGCAACCAGTTATTAGGTTTAGAGGGCACTTACTTATAGCCGCACAGGTTTGGATAACTTTTTTCTCCTTAATCAACGAAATCATTATTAAAACTTGCATTTTTCATTTACTCTGGTTATCTTTGTCCAACTTCAAACATAGTTTGCTGCTCTGAAGACAAACGGCACTGTTGATCTCTAGGTCTCCTGTATTGATTTGGATCCTTAAACAGGACATTGTGCCAAGTTGTCAGATCATAAGCAGACTATAACACTGTTCCAATCTCCTTTCATTTTCTGGACACTTGGTTAAAGTCCTTCAGACTGAGTCATCACCTTTGTTATGTGTATAAGCTATCTGGTGGCGGATGTTTAAGTAGAAATCATGTAAAAATATCCCCTCTGGCCCAGTTTGTTGTTTTGATTTTTCCAAAAAACAAGGAAGTGTTGGCCGTGAATGAAGGCGTTCTACCTTCCTTTATCCATGAAGCCTTGCGCCTCAGCATTGCTTCCTGCCATCGGCTTAGATTGCAGTATCACGCTGAATAAGTTGCTCGGCACGTTTTTAGGCGTGGTTACCTTCTGTTCAGATGGCATTGTTCTAACAAACACAATATTCTGAGCTAATAATAAAATAAAACTGGTAATATTCTACGAGCTTGCAATATATGAGGTAAACATGAAGTTATTTTTGTGCCTTTGCTCTCACAGAGTTGTGTTTGAAGGAGTCACTGTGCATGGGAGTTTCCAGTAGGCTTCTGTTGGATGCAACAGGAACTCCAGGCTCAGAGTTGGACTCCATCTACAGTCTCAGCGACAGAAGTAAGTTTAAAAAGGAACAAACCTGTAGATGTTGAGGCGCCTTGGACTTAACAAAAAAAGGTGCATGTAGAATTGGGAATGATAATGTAATATGATCTCATGTTTTGATTTCCCGGCTGTGTTAAATCGTTGTTGTGGAAACTAAGCTTATCTCGAGCGTTAAAAAGTGAGCATGTGATCTGGCGGAGGACGTTATGTTTGAGTTAGGTGCACTCCTTAGTTTGAGGCGCGCTGTTCCACATCTCGGCTCGCAGATAAAGGAAGCTGAAACCATTTTTCAGTACAACCTGTGTCCTCGGGAATTCGCCCAGTTTTATGTGACCAGATTGGATTACTGGATTGTTCGAATTTGCTCTCCGAGCTGCAAGTGATGTGGCCCTGAGATTACAGATAGGAAAGAAAACGGGTCCTGGGTGTATCTCCCCATGTGACAAGGTAATAATATGGTACACATTTTATTTTGTTCTTATTTTCTTTCTTTCTTTTTCTTTTTTTCTTTTTTCTTTTCAATCGTGCACCCCTGGGCTTCTCTATGAATTTTTGATATTTGTCTCACACTGAGAAATTTTGAAGAGCTGTGACATGCCTGCGGAGAATATACGGCGCAGTCAAAAAGCTCAACTGTGGAAACACGTTTTACTTGTGCCATGATCAAATCCCATCACAGCCCTCGCTACTGTGTGTCTGCCTTAAACTGTTTTCAAAGCAGTGACACAAACTGTCTCACTTCCATAAACAAAATGTGCAGCCTGGCGCTCGCATGGGTGCGTTATTGAAACTGCTAGGCTAGGTTCATGTAGCCAATTTGTCCTGATCACTAACTGAGCTGGGCAAAATTCCACCATTATCCTTTAATGATCTGGATTTCAAGTCATTGTGCGGCTGAGGCCTAGTAACAAAACAACAAGTTATAAATAATAATATAAGTCCCAGATTCAGTTTTTCCTTCAGGTAAAAGTTCCACTTAGAGTGTTAAAAAGTAAAGAATTTAATAAAAAACATTTTGTCATTGTACTTTTTCTACAACTGCATATTGTTTTGTTAATTGAAGGGATCCTTTACAGGGAAGAACTATTTCCAAAGGAGCCCCCTTGTAATCCTATCCCACTTTGAGAACAAGTTAAAACTACCTGCGAATTAATCAGCACTACAATAATACATCCAGTTTTCAGCAATACTGTGATATTATCATATATACTCACTGAACATTTCATTAAGTACTACACTGTTTAGTTACACATAAATATCTAATCGGCTGATCAGATGGTAGCAGCTCAATTTAGGCGAGTAGACGTGGTCAAGACAACCTGCTGAAGGTCAAAATGAGCATGAGAATGAGAAAGAAAGGTGACTGTGAACATAGCATGGTTGTTGGTGCTGCACAGGCTGCTCTGAGTGTTTTAGAAACTGCTGATTTTCCCACACAGTCATCTCTAGGGTTCACAGAAAATGGTCCAAAAAAGAGAGAATATACATTGAGCAGCAGTTCTCTGGGTGAAAGTTCTTTGTTGATGTCAAAGGTCAGAGAAGAATGGCCAGACTCCTTTGAGCTGATAGGAAGGCAGCAGTAACTCAAAAAACAAACAAACACTCATTACAATAGAGGCAGAAGAGCATCTGTGAATGCAAAACACATCAAACCTTGAAGCAGATGGGCTACAACAGTAGAAGACCACACCAGGTGCCACTCCTGTCTGCACAACAGAAGACTATAAAAATGTTGCCTGCTGTCCCAGTCTCCGTTTCTGTATTCAGATGGTAGGGTCAGAGTTTGGCTTAAACAACATGAAAGCATGTCAACGGTTCAACGCTGTGGAGCATGATTTGTCTCCACACTTTGAGCCTCTTGGTACCAACTGAGCATCATTAATACTCCACAGCCCACCTGAGTATTGTCGCTGTCCATGTCCATCCGTTTATGACAGCGTGCCATCTTCCTGCTTGTAGGGCCAATATGAACTCTCTCCACATTGAGTGTTTATTGGTCTGCAAGACTGTGTAAAAGTTACCTGGTTTAATTTCAGAAAACTTGCCGGAGAGGTAGAACACAAGCAGAGGAAGAACTCCAGTGGATTTTAATCGGTCTTTAAAAAAGCTGTTCAGTGTTTAAGCAGTAAGAGAAATTTAGAGACTCCCGAGTGCATGGAGGACAAAGCCTTAGAGACAATGGATACATATGGGGTGGTTAGTAACAGGTTCACAGCATGCTGCTGAATGAACAACGCAATCTGATACTAGTAATTGTATCACATGTCAAACTGCATTTTTCAAAAAGGGTGTAGGCACATAGTTCCATAAAACAATAAAAAATAAATAAAATCACAGTACCTAATCTAAAGTACAGTCCTTTAGATTCCAGGGCCATCATTCAGCCTCCATCAGCCGTTGTTGTCTCAGAGCCAAAGTGATTTCTCATTCATGGCCCAGTGTAATGCCCATACTGCTCACCAGGTGTCTCATTGAGTGCAGCAGTTCAGAATTTCAATGCATGAATTGTCCTGTGGGACAGAACACAGCGTTAGAAATTCATTGAACAGGATGGGAAAAATGCCATCTCACTCTGACTCCTCTCTCTTTGTTTCTGGCGTTCGTGCGCTCCATCTCTTTTTTCCTTTCAGGAAAGCGTTATAACACGAGCGCCGTTAAACCGCGAACGTGCACAAGGTTAAAAACGCAGCTGTTCCATGCATGTGCATTTTACTCAAAACGCAGGAAGGCGTTATTATTTGTGCCTCCACCGGCAAAATGTGATTGTTTTAACTGTGTCTGGCACAGACCTCTGTCACACAGCCCCACTCTCTCTGCCTGTCTCCTTCAGTCCACAGTAGCTGTTCAGACACTTCTTCTGTCGGGAGTCAGAAGGAGGGGGGATCTCCAGCGTCTGGGAGGGACCCCAGGAGAAGCTCTGGATCAACAAGCTGCTCACAGGTGGGCTAAAAAAAGTATACACGTGTAACAAGCCCAAAAGATAACATGTGATCGCCGAGGTGAATAAAAGCTATTTTTATATCCTGTAATTACTCAACACTTCACCAGTGTTTTAATAGAGACGTGAAGTGAGAAATGTGCTTTTCTGCTCGCTGGAAACGAAAGCGTCTTTTTTGATCTTCTTAGGTTTTCTAGAACCTTTTAGGAAGGGGAGCTTTGCTGAAAAAGTCCCTTTTTAAAAGCCCAGGCTTTAGTTTGCAGAGCTAAATATGGTTGTAGGCAACCCTTCTAAACTCCTACAAACATGACTTTGTCATTAGTATCAAGATGTTAGCCATGAACGCCCACAGAGTTCTGTTTCTCTTTGCCTTATTTCCTTTAATCTGTGGGCTACTGCCGGCTGAAGACATACAAATTACTCCAGAGCAAACATTTTTATTTCTAAGCATTTTTTAAAATTATTTAGCGAAGAGCACAGAGGTGTGTTTAAAGGACACTATAGAAGAAGAGACTGTATTTAAAAGATGAACATAGCCAGCAGATTTGCCTTCTTTCTAATGGTAAGCATGGACGACTCCTGGTAGCTGAAATAACTCTGACTGTGGAAGAACATGAGAAAATGACCCATCTTGTCATTTGTTTTATGACCTTATGTCAACATTATTCTGATGGGTTTGTGGCCTGAATGGCTAGTTTCCCGTCTTATTTAATAAACCATGATGTTCACTATCTAAATTAGTTCTAGATTATAAGATGATAAACCAGAGTATGGCTTCTTGTGATTGACAGGTCACTAAACTACTCTTTGCTTGTGACACCTGCTTTTGTTTTTTTTTTATGTTTTCTAAGTGCTTTAAAACATTAGTCTACAAACATTGATTTTGCAACAATCTTAAGCCACCTTTCATCTCTTTACTTTACTTCCCATTTTCTCGCTTATCTTGTAACTTTTAAAGTGATCTTGAAGCCGGACACTGACCTATAACTTATTCGAGCGTTTAAAAAAAAAAAAAAGGCACCTAATCAGTTTTGTGTCTACACATAACAGATAAATAAGCAATGAGCCAATTTTAAATCTTTTGGGACCTTTTACTGGTGGCCTGTTACAAACAAAAATTCCAATTTCTTTAGTCGAATCTATGAAAAATGCCAGGGATATAGAATCTTTGCACCAACAAGGTGATTCCCACAGAGCTATTAGCTGAAACCCTGACATATCTCAGCTTGTTTTTGTGCAGCATGTGCTTAGAAATTTGAAGTAACTGGACAAGTCGAGGATGAAAGACAAAAAGACCTATAAACTATCTATAATAGATGAATAGTAAAGTTATTTGAGAGTCATGTGCACTAAAGACCTGACACAGCACCTGAGAGATGGGCTCAATGAAGCCTCACAGAAATGTCAAATTACACAAGAACTGGACTGATTTCCAGTCCAGTTCTTGTGTAAATGTATGAGGGGGACGCTCGATCGTGGCTTGAGGCCACATTCCAGCGAGTGGTGACAAAATAGATGGTACTTTCCTGTGTTTATAATTCCATCAGATTTTGATCTGCCATGCAATGTCATCTGAACAACATCTGACTGGCAACAGCTTCACTTTTCAGCATGACAGTGATCCCAAACACACTTCCAATACCTCGATAGTGCATCACTGTGTATTTTTCTACCAGCCATGACAGAGCCCAGACCTCAACATTACAGAAGCAGTGTGGGATTAAAGACTGACCGAGAATGAAACGAAACACAGCCAACATCTGAATAAAACCTTTGAATGTCTGCAGAACTATTCCTGAAACTATTCCTAAAGAAACGACAAGAAAGCTGCCTAAGAGTGCTCAGACTGTGCTAAAGACTAAAGGTGGTCGTACCAAATTTTGGCTTTCAAGCTCATTAGATTCCATAAACCCTTACATGCTGCATTTCCATGCACGATTACACGTTTCAGTAAATCATCGCACTTATTTCATGGTTCAAGACTTTTGCACAGCACTATGTACTTTGAATCATTTGTATGTAACATAGTGGTGATATGGTGAAGAAAGTCATTCATTCACACTGAGCTGATCTGTGTTAAAAAGGCATCCTTTAAACCAGTCAAAGCATTTCTGTATGTTTGTAAAGTGAAAACACTGCATGAATCTGGCTGTAAGCAAACAGCAATACCTGCCTGCCATCGCCATGGTAGAGTTTAAATGAATTTGCTCAGTGTGCACACACACAAACACACACACATTCTCACAATCTCCTTATCTAGCAAACAGAATATGACAGATTAGCAAACAGACAGCGCTGGGAACAGATTGACAGACAGACGGACACACGCAGCCCAAACAGATAGGGCAAACACGCAGACAGCGATATGCACATATTCGACAACAGAGGGAGGATTTGCCGCTTGCGCACGGGTGCACGCACATTTTTGGTGTGTACGCACACTTAAGCGCCGAATGTAAAAATGCGACTGTTTCTTCCTCCTCAGAGCCAGTCTCCCTCTACAGCTGTGTGACTGTCATCTCAATAAGCGTAAGTTTACTCTGTTTATCACACGTTTCTTTTTTTTCTGCACTCTGCCACTTTACATGCGCTGCTCATGTCGCTGCATTCCCACGCTGATCGCATTTATTTTAGTCATTCTTTATTCTGGGGATTTCTGCATGTGTCACTATTAATATTTTCTTCTCTTTCTGTCGCTTCAACCAGAAACTGGACCTCAGATTTTTTTTTTTTTTGAAGTTTTTAAACATCTCAGTTCCACCTCTGGGCGAGCCAAACTGGACTTTGAAGAGGAAGAAGACAAAATGAGAGAGAGAGAGCCCTCCTCATCCCCCCCCCCCCCCCCCCCCCATCACCCTTTTGAACTTCTCCCACATGCTTTCTCTCCTTCCCCTTTCCCCGTCCGTCTCTTTAAAATAAATAAAGTGCCAGCAGATTAAGCGGCGCAGCACAGCACTGCTTTTCTCCACTTTTAAAACCTCCCAGCTCTGATATGACCCCCCACCAAAGAAAATCTGCATCCAAAAAGGATCAAAACTGTCCTGTTTAAATCATGACAAGCACCAGCGGGACTCTCTGCGCTCCGCCATTTTGGATCTGCCAGTCTCAGTTGCTGGCAGAGTCATTGACACCAAAGGCACTTCAGCCACACAGTGCGGCCATTGTCTGCCCCACGACTCCCCACTAGGCCAAACCACTTGGTCTGAACCACTGACTGCCTCGGCTGGCTGACTGTACGCATCACATGCTCCAGCATCTGATAATAAACGGGAAGTAATATGCAGGGCGTAAATCCACCGTTGGATTGCAGATTTAGAATGTGTTATGTTCTTTATCATTTTCATAACGCAGAATGGAGTACTGTACGCTTTTTTTTCGTTTTCCCTACCTGTGTAAAAATGCGTGGCATAGCCTAGGTGCGATTGCATCTATGTAAATTAAGCAAGGGTGGTGTGAGCATATACACACGCTCACATTCACACACACAACACACAATGTCCCTCAACACATGCAGTCACTCTTATTGTTACAAGACAGTGGAGCACTGTTCACATTCTCATGCCCGCACACTCACTGTGACCAGTTTCGAGCCTGGTACAGTGACCACATCAACGACAGGCAAGGTTACATTTGAAACGCATGCCGTGAGCTTTGCCTTGATGAAGACCAGGAAGGATTTACAGCATCATATCAGACTGTTATACATTGTGTTAGAGTGTTTCATTTAAGCTAACGTGTTGTTTTTCTTTATTAACAGTGGCCACAATTTAAAGGCAAAATGGTATTTAGTCTTCTTTAAAGTGTAACTTACATCAGCAACATATTGGTGCCTTAAAAATGTTCTTCGGAGTACTGAAGAACATTGCTGTGTAAAATGCCATATTCTATATGCCAAAGGTATAAAATGGGTGACTGTGCAATGATGATTTCTGTACATTTAGTACGGGCATTCCTCATTGGAATGCTGTCTCCATAAAATGGAGAAAGGTGGGTCTGTTTGTTGTGCTAATTTGTGGTTTTACTGCTTTTATTCTTGTGGCTAGAAGACATGAACTACATCTAATTCTTTTTAGAGAATTAATTAAATCTAATCTCTTAGCTTCTTGCTTAAAGGAAGACATTTTCCTAAAATATCCCAAAACTATTATTTTCATGTTTCTCTCCCCCCCCCCGGTAGAAAATTACAGTTTGGAAAGTCTAGTTCAGATTGGTTGACATGGGATTCCTCAGAACTGTATTTATGTTCCCAGGGTCCTATGTTTGGCAATTCTATACTCTTTTAACGCACATCAATCCTCCTGTTGTGTTTGGGTTAGACCCACATCATATTAAGCGAATTTGGGATCCTATTATAAGCTGGGGAACAAAGGACTCTGGGAACATGGTATGACCCTGATTTCGTTATCCTGAATTTTAAAGGTATGTTGTCTGTATACAGAAATGAGAAATGGAAGGAAAGCTAGACTCAATACAGATACCTAAAATGCTGACAGTGCAGCTAAAGCTTTTTTTTTTTTTTTTTTTTTTTTTTTTTAAATATATGTTCATGCATTTTTCTAAAGAATTCTTAAATCTGGAAGTCATAGTTCCAAAATCATGGTTTTCATATACTTCTGAGGGGGAATGTGGAAGTTTTAAAGAAGACATGGTGTTTTTTCTTGCTAATGCTGTTAAAATATGATAAAAAAAATATTGCTTTATTTGATTTTGTCTTATAACACTTACTGATAATGACTGTCAGGTGATTACTTTAGCATAAAGATTGGAAACAAAGTAGCTAGCATAGTTTTGTCAGCAGGCTTAGGCTAATGTCCGCTAACCTACTGCTAGTTTGTATTCAGTAGGAATCTTCCAGGCAACTACTTTACAAGTTCTTTAAATGAAAGAAAATAGAAACTAGTCGACTAGCATAAAAGACAGAAAACCTCAGAAATAATTTAAAACTCTTTACTTTAAAGTTTCATGCTAAACATTAGCCAAACAAATATTTCATTTACATCTTAGGAGATACAATAAATACTTAATCATGTTCCTCGTTAATCAAACCATGTCTTAAATGTTGCTGAAATGTGCGCTGTATATAATATTGCAAACGCACACAACGTCAGATAAGTTTGCAGGGTTTAGCTAATCCAAGCGGTGCTAGCAACAGTAGCCTTGTTTTTTCCAGGCAGGCGTTCAAATACCAGTGGCCAAATAATGGGGTCACAGTACATGCATGGCACAAAGGTTTAGGCTTCAGACTGCCAATAAACACTGTTTGAGACAGTTTTGACTACTCGGGCCTCTGTGATGTCACAGAGAGTGGATCAAATCTTAATGTGATTTTACATTGATCATTTGCTTCCTAAAAGTTGGACACAGAAGGATTCAGCTATCAGGTTAGTGTCAAAGGGCAGCTATGTCTAGTCGACTAGTTGCATAAATCCCTAATATTTGATATTGAGATTCAAGTCAATTTTCTTATCTAACTTATACCATGAACAAAACAGTTGTTGTTTTTTCTCTAGAATGTCACATTTTTCTTTGAGATATCAAACCTCAACACTAACAGAAGAAAAAGATTAGACAAGCTTGCACTTCCTGTACTACTCTGTGGAGACTTGTTGTTGTCCTCATTCTCTGAAGTTGAAATGAATTATAAGGAAATGTGCAAAAAGATGCACAAGATACACAAAACATACCATTTTATCTCATGACACGGCCCCGAAAGGTTTCAGCATTTCACTGTGTTATTCATATTTCATGACGGCAAGCATTCAGGCAGTAAAACCAATAAACATGCACTCGCCGCTTTGATTGAGTAGCATGTGTATCAGACAATACCATGCTTAAGGTACAATATGAGACCGGCAGGTAGCGAATGCCGGCAGCAACAGGAGGTCAAGCTCATGTCTGCAGACAGCAGCAGCAGCACGTTTCATATCTGCATCCAAATTCACAAATTGCAAATGGCTATTGAGCCGTTTCTGAATCAATATGTAATTTGTTGGCTCGGAGAAGTCTGTAAACTTCATAGCCTTTAGCTGTTTGGTACATTGCATTATATTGGAAGCAATGTAATGAACACCATCTTTCATTCCTACTGCAGCATAAATTGTCATTTGCAGAATCTCTCACTTTTGTATGGCACTTTGTAAGGCAGTATTAATGTATAGAAACTTCTCTCTTTATTTTTTATTTTTTTGTATGAAACACTTTGCCTGATGTTTACATTTTTTGGAAGCAATGTGGATTGTTTGACATGCATGTTGTACGTACTTGATTTTTTTTTTTTTTTAATAAAACTGAATTAAAGTTCCCAGCCTCAACAGAGGGGGATCTGAAGAGCTGGGTGGGTGGGTGGTTTGTTGCGCTTGAACCTTTTGCAGCAGGGTGTAAACCTCAAAATGAGGCCTGTAACCCTGTAACCCCCCTCCAAAAAAACCAAAAAAACTTGCAGTAATGAGTGCCGGGGTCTCCTCTGGAAGCCAGCTGTGCTGCTGCCTCACAAAACCCCGAATGATTAGATAACTACAGTGCAGCGCCATATCAAATAGTTCCAGGGATCAAATTCTCGAAAGGAGGGGAGTGCACTTTGAGAGCATGAGTGTGTGTCCATCTGTGCATGTGAGGGACACAGAGAGAGGAATGAGAGATAAAGGCTGGGTAAAGAAGAAGGAGGAGCAGGAGGGGGGGACAGGAAGGGGCAGAACTGAGAGAGCGAGAGAAAGGGATCGACAGAAGAGAAGGACAGGAGACAGTAGGTGGGAATGATGGGAAATGAGCGAGGGCGAAGGGGCAGACAGACAGAGAGGCACAGTCAAGGGGAGAGCAGGAGCACGAGAGCGGGTGGGTGGGGGGGTAACCAGGCAGGGGGAGGGAAAAAAAGAAGTGGAAGAATAGAAAAGGGGGGCTTATAGAAAGAGGGAGACACAAAGTAGAGTTAGAACTTTTTTCCTCCTCCTCCTTCTTCTTCTTCTTTCTTTCCTAATGTAGAGAACCAAGAGCGAGGGCCGAGAGAGCTGCAGGAAGGATGAAGGAGAGAGAGTGAGCGGGGTAAAAGGGGGGATGTTGACAAAGCAGCGAGACTGTGGCGAACAAAGAGAACGTGAAGAGAATGAGTCGGGGGAAACATCAAAGGGATTTTTCAGGCCCGGTTACCGGGACAACAGACATTTGCATGCGATTAGCTTTTTACATCATATTAAGAAGGGTTAGGGTGAGGGAGGGAGGAGGGGAGAGGGTGATGGAAGTAGGAGAAGGGTGGGGGGACTATAGATCATACACACACACACACTGTATGAGATAGTGTTAGGGGGGGAAAAGGGGAAAAAAAGGACGTTGGTCATCTCACGCGGATAAACTGACTTATAGGCAGCCAGCCAAGCGTTTCTTTTGTAAATGAGAGTGCATGTTGAGGGGGGGGCAGATACAGTAATATGCCAGCGCAGACATTTTGGCAAAGGGAGGTCAAAGCAGTCAGTTTTTTTTCTTTCTTTAAAAAATAAATTATTTCTTTTGATTTTTCTGCTCTGAGTAGAAGTTCGACACCAGTGATTTCAAGCACAGAGGAGGAAACTTTAAAACCTGACAAATGATTTCAGGTGTAACGGCCAGTTTTGGTTTTGTTATTGTTAGGATTTTCTCATGAAATTCAACCTTTCTCACCCTCACTTCTTCAGAAAACCATGTCCAAAATGGGCAAAACATGTCACGACAGTCAACAACATGTTGCATTTGTGCCAACTAAAGAGGACAAATGTGCCGTTTTTTTGGAAAATGTTTCCAGTTGGTCTCACAGATTACGCTTCTTTTTTCTTTTCTTTTTTCAAATGTTGCTGAAA